CTCAGGCAGACACCCTGTTCTGTAACTCATGAGGGACAGAAAGAAGAGTGGCCCCAATTGTGTGGGCTACTTTGCAAGTGTTACATTCTAATAAAGTCTTACTGGCTGGGCACAGTGGCTCACGCCTGTAATCCCAGCACTTTGGGAGGCTGGGGTGAGTGGATTGCTTGAGCCCAGCCTGGGCAACATAGCAAAATCTCGTCTCTACAAAAAAGATTTAAAAATTAACCGGGCATGGTGGTATGGGCCTGCAGTCCCAGCAACTTGGGATGCTGAAGTGGAAGAACTGCCTGAGCCCAGGAGGTTAAGACTCCCGTGAGCTGTGATTGTCGTGATTGCTGTGATCATAACACTGCACTCCAGTCTGGGTGAGAGTGAGACCCCCGACTCAAAAAAAAAAAAAAAAAAAAAAAAAAAAAAGTCTTTCACAGGCTGATTTACCAATTTTTCTTTCAACTTCTGGTCCCACAGTGATAGTATAGATAGGTTAATTCATTAGAACCAGTTACCTCACTGCAAGAGATAATGCTAGCTTCTTTCCCCAAAACTTGAGTTAACATTTAACATTTACTGGTCTGCGTAGGATTCAATTATTTGATTACTGTTTACTGTTTTATGTTCAGATTTTTAAAAAGTAGATTGTAATCCAATGGTCATTTTCTAGTTACTCAGTAAAAATAAGGTTGAGCAATGCCTAAATAGGCATTTGAAAAAAATCTTCTAGCATTTCAGACAAACCTAGCTTGATTCATATAGGTAACTATTGGTGATATCTGTGTAGCTACAACCCAAGGCCATTTAAAAGGCCAGTCATTACTATCCATGCGATTGAGCCAAACATTACCTCCTATTAATTCCAATGGGGGGAAAAAATCATGCTCCAGAGACTCTTCAGTAAAATATTTTTTAAAAATCACAAAAAATAAAAACCAATCCTTCAGGTCTTCTTGAAGAATTCATATATGACACTAGAGGGTACCCACATTGATTATGTAACAGCTAATTAGAGAAAACCGTGTGTTCAAGTTTCAACTTTTCCGTAAGTCCCTTCGGGAGGCCTGTAATGCTTGGGGAAAGCCTTCAGCTGCAGGGAATTAAATGCATATTTGCGACTTCCAGCATTCTTCATTGTATTTTCTCTTCGACAACCCTCACTGGGGAAAAAACAAGCACAAGAAATGACAGCAGTAAAAAAGGAAAAAAGAAAAGACTTAAACTAAGATGAAATGAACTGATTATTTTCATAACATTAAAAAAAAGATTGATTAATTTAAATGGGTGCTAGCCTCATTTACAACAAATACATATGCAAGATGGCAGGGTTCTGAACACGGCAACTGAGAAGCACAGAGATGGATGCATGCAGTATGGGGCTGTGAGTTCTGCATTTCCACAAGCAGTGCTCTATCTAAATGGAAGCAAACTCTTTTTTAAAGTGAGTAATGTCTTGCATCTCACGTCTAGTTATTTGTAGTTCTGCCATAACCTGTGGCTCAAAGGTTCTGATACACAGCCAATTAAGTAGAAAGAGAAACATCACTGCTCTTACCAAAGCCTTTAAAGAGCTGTAATCGCATCGAATTCAAAAGGCTCACTTCCCTTGCAGTGTCCAACACGAAGCAAAGCCCTGGCTGAGAAGGCTGTGCTCACATGCTGTCTCCACTAGGGGACAGCTGCTCTAAGCACAGAGCAATCCAGTGGGCCCACGCACTGTCTGCAGAGCAGCCTGGCTGTCAGGGCAGGAGTGTCAGGAAGGAGGGACCCCACCGAGGTCTCCTGGTGGCAGCCAGCCACCCTTCTCCTCCAGATGTGCTGCCCTCATGTGGTCACCTGTTGCACAAGTGCCACTTGAGCCAGTGAGAGGCCTCAGGCGCCCTTCCCTAGAGAACTTGCTTGTAAGCATCATCCCAGCTGTATTTGATGGAGACTGTCATGACAACCCGTGGGTAAAACGAATGCTGCACAGGAGGATGAGCTGTAGGCTGGCCTCACATTCTCAGTGAGAGCATCAAGGGAGTTCTCTGGGAAATGTTCTGGTGCAGACATAAAATTAACAGGCAAAAGCAATTTTAAATATAAATGACTTCTCACAGCACAGTGTAACTTGATATTTTTATATTCTAAAACTAGCAATGATATCAACTAGCTACCATATTTAGTACAAAAATCTCCCTTATGAGATGTAAAATTTGCAGTTACCAAGAAACAGTGATTTTAAAAAAAATCCAAATTTTATGAAGATCATTATTATCATGCATTTAAAAAAAATATCAGTGGCAATTGCTCAAGCTTTTTAAAGTGAAAATGACAGTCTCATTATCAAGAACATGTAAAATATTTTTGGTAAGACAGTAATTTTTATTCAAAAGCTCCAGTATTTTAGAAAATATCCACCTGGTTTTTATTAACTAGTTTGGTAACTCAGATATGCTTTCTTGTCACAGAGACTCAAGTCCTCAGCTAGGATGTGCGTCATCTGAGCTGAACACCAAGACCTCAATGGGCAGGTTCCCCTAGAGGAAATAATTATCATGTTTGCCTAACATTGAGTAACCAAAAATGTATTTCCATCTAAAGCAGAAGCTATAGGTTCCTCTGCAGAGTGAATTCCTTTAATCTTTGGAAGCTCTTACATTAACGGATTATTTCAGATATGGCTTCTCCATTTATATAGAAACGTACAAACTTCTCAAAAACCACCATCACTAGTAGACACTAAATTGCCTTGAGGAACAAGGAAGAATAATTAGTAAACTTTGCCATTATCTTTTATTTACAGGTTAAAGGAGCTAATGCCTAGTTTAGCTGGCTGAATACCTTGGATATGAAATTGTAATCAATATTTCACTCTCATTCCAATTTAGTTGTTGATTTATATTTACTTTCCCCCAAATGTCTGAATTCACAAAATTTGGCTGATGCAATCAATCCACATGCCGACACTATCATCCCATTATCTGCATTTTTAGACAAACTGGCACTAGGGTTCGGGCCTAGGCATGCAGAGGCAGGGTGTGCTATGCTGACAGGCTTTTCCCACTACAGAGGTCAGCTTGCTGCCCCAGGACAGAACACCTTCACTGATCACACTGGCTGCATGATTTTTAGGAGTCAATAATGTGTTGAGAAGGTCTTGAATAGATTTTAGCAAGAGGGATTTAATTATTTCAAAGCTCCATGATGATTTTGTATTATAGCAATAAATTAGTTCTTTTCAAGGACATTCATTTTTGAAGTGAAAATCAGAATGGAAACCCCAAATTACAACTGATTTTAGGGAAACCTCTGGTTTTCCCTTTCTGGTGGGCTCTTCCACTTTAGAACTCATCTGGAGGCATCAGTGTCTTAGTGGTCCTATGGTAGATATTGGGAGTGGCTGCCTCTCCTAAGGCTTTGTGGAGGGGAAATAGGTCACTGTGTTAAGATCTCTGCTGGAACCAAGCCATAGGAGTAAGTGGTGTCTGTCACACTAGTTGAAAAAACTTATGCAACAGTTTTATAAGACCATCCAAAGAGAGCCACTCCTGGGTATGGTTTCTCTAACTTCAGAAAGCTTATCTAATAAGGAATACCCAGAACTGGTTGACATCGACAATGCCTCGGTGCTAATGTGACTATAGAAACAGCCTAAAAACAATCACCAAACATCCATGACTCCTGTTTCTTGAATCATCTCCCCATCTTTGTTTCTTCTTGCCTATTTCCCACTAAAGCAGATAAGATGCTGGGTATGTATTTTGCCTGATTCATAAGCCTGGAGTGATCTCAGGGTGTCCTTTCCAGTGCTGGTTCTCCTTGACTGCTAGGCACAGTGGACTGCCTTTAGACCCAGCCTCAGGAGGAGAAATGAGAAATCTTCTCATCTTTCTGTTAGGTCCCATCTCCCTCTCAACACCACAGCCAAGTCCACACAGGCCATGAAGGTGAGCTGGTACCATGACAGCTGATGGTGAGGGGAAGGTGTCCTTGGGTCCCGTTGGAGGGGCTCCTCTGGCTGGTCACAGCTTTCCTGTGCTGTGTGGTAGGGTCCTGGAGAGGACCTGGAGAGGGCTACAGAAGCACCCTCAGGCCGTGGGAGAGGAAAGGTTGTCACATGTAGTCAGAGGGCCTCCCTCCTCTGTGCATGGCCTCTGTACAGCCACTAGCACCACCCTGGAGGTGGGCCTGGGCACATGTCACCACTGCGATCATCAGAAGCACATTACCCAGAGCTGTGGAATAGGAACTGAATAAGGCTGTGAACTCCACGTTCCCGCTTTCATATCAAGCAAACAAAACGGTCTTGGAGAGCTGAAGCGTGTACCTTAATGTCAAAGAGGGCAAATGGGGAACACATCTTTCAAAGAACCATAGACTAAACGGGTCATTGTCTGGTGACTAGTACCATGCTGCCAAAACGTAACACCACCCATCAGTTGACATTTGGTGAGAGACTTCCTACTGAAGGATGTCAGAGCAGCCAACTAACTTATTCTAGAAATGACAAGTAGACACGCTGCACCTGGAGAAGAGTGAACTCACCTACAGTGATGACACAAATCCTAATATGCCCGAAGGGTCCTTCAGTGCTCAGGGGGTCTAGAAAGAAGGGTGTTCCTGGGTAGTGATGAGGACCGTCTTACACTTTAGAATGCAAAGTCTGAGTTGGGCATTTGCCATTCCTTGATAACTGCCCCTGGGATTCCCAGAACCCAGACTGAGCTGATGCCAAATCAAAGAAACTCCAGAGTAAGATCTGGGAGTCTGGGAGAGAGGTTGGAGAGGCCAGATTTTGTGGTGGATTGGGTTTCTGTGCATGCCCAGGTGTCAAGTTTCTGGAAAAGCAAACTTCTCTGAATCCACTCCAATTTTTCTAGATTGGTGAAAAGAAATCCACTTCATAGATACAGTGCACAGGGAACCAGCTGGAGGCAGAAACCAGAAGCACAACATAATACGAACCGAGAAACAGAGAAGCTGCTATTCCTTAAACAGGGTGTTTGGAATTGTCCCCTAATTTATTTGGTTGCCTTTAAGGTGTATAATTACCCTCTATCACAGACAAAGGTTAAGGTTACAACTCATTCCATTTTGAGGACATTGCCACGTTAAAATTAAGAATGATAAGAGCAGAAACCAAAGCGACCCCTCCTCTCTCACAGCTCCATCTACCACAACTGCCCGAAAGCTAAGGATCATCTTTTGGGCAATTTTTCTTTGAATTTTTTTCATTATTAACCATATTTGACTAGTAGGAGAGAAAAGCTGTCTGGACTTTAATCTGGAATTAAATATGTCATCTTTTAAATGAAAAATGCTAGGCTAATAAAAATAAACAAATATATAGATAGATAATTTGAACAGCCACTTGTTGCTATATGCATTAATTCCTGAAATCAGCTGAATGATCCTTTAAGAGTTAAGAGCAAATCTAAAGTCACATGCAACACGAAGTTATCTTTATGTGCCTGACTTGGTACAATGTAGTAGTATTGTATTCACAGCTTTGTGTCGTCCCCATTTGGAAATAATAAACATAAGCAAGGAAACGTTATGTTTCTGCAAACTGTTTGCTACTATAATTCAGGGACTCGCTTTGAAATGAAAGCAGCAAGTACATGTCCTATGAGTAGGTTGACCTAGATGAGCAGTTATAAAGCATCTCTCTTTCTTTTCATTGTTCTTCAAAAGGAAAGGAAAGGTTAGCAACACACTTAAAGAATAGTATCAAATATACAGATTCTCTTCAAACAGAAGTCCTCTCTCTTGGAAACAGGGCACACGAGATGTACAGGTGACAGGTAGCTTTACATCCAAAGGTAAGAGATGTGGTACAAGTAATTCCAGGCCAGTTAAATAATGCAGTGACAGGGCACCTTAAGAACATGTTACAAGCACTGAAGACGCTACATGATTTAAACAAACAAGTCCTCTTAGTGAAATAATTTGGCAGATATTTACAGTTCAGAAGAACAAAACATCAAACTGTAAGGCATTAAATATTTCTTGGCAGACCACGCTTTGACACATTCCTTCTGTCCAGTTAGGTGCACGGTAGCTGGACATATTCTGGCACTTTTGTTTTTCTTGTGACTTATTAAATTTTCAGAGTGAGATTTATTTGCAACGCAATTTGGTCACCAGGTAGGCTATGCTCAGAAAGAGCCACACAATCAGTAAATTGGGGCTCAGAGCTAATAAAGGAATGGAACAGAGGAGGCTGGGGTCTAGCCTTAAGTCTCGGATGGGCACCAGGCCGCTCAAGTTCTTCTGGGTGACTACCTCCCGTGTTCCAATGCTGTGAAAAGGAAAAAGTTTGGGAGAAAGGAAAAGAAAAAAGGAAAGGGAAAAAAAATAAAAAGACACATGCGATGGATTTTTATCAAAAAGTATGGGAAAAGGAGAATCAAAAGATAAGATTTTAACAAAAAATGGAATGAAGCCACAACAGAAAGAAAAAATGATATGCAGAAAAAGGTGTGAGAGGAAGACCAAAACAAAACCAGCACAGTTACAGGAAAAAAGGAGAGAAAGAGAAGTGAAAAATAAGAAAAAATACTGCAATCTACTGAAAATAAATACATGTAGGTTGAATGAATGGTTTTCCATGTTCACGCTCTCTCGGTTGGCCAAGCACAACTCCATGCTGCCCTGCCATGCCCCACATGCTGCAAAGACAGGATCTCTGAGAAGCAAGCTGAACATGAAGAACCATTGGGGGTTTGACCTTCTCACAGATGCTGAGCGGGGGGTTGGCCAAAGCTGCCTCTTGATTCACTACACAAATGAAAACCATTTACCTCAGGTGCCAATCAAAGGCAGAGCCCTCGCCAGTCCCGCCTGAGGTCCCAGGTTCAGCAGTTGGCAGGGCACGAGCAACTGCTGTCTCCAACTGTGCCAGTCACCGTTCTACAAGATGTTCCCCAAGGATGGAGTCCAACCCACCCCACCTTGGAAATTTTAGGGTTCTTCCCCCTTTGGGTGCTACAGAAGAAATACACTGAGGTGAGATGGTACCTAGGACCACACGACTCTAGCACATCCATGTCCACCAAGTGGCAGCAGTGACACAGAACCAGAGGTCCTAGGACACAGCAGGCAGCCTGTGAAGGAGACACTCAGAGGTGGGAGGCAGGAGGGCCAGGCTTTCTCCTCACACTGAGTCTTCCCAGCTCTCCCAGAGGAAGCCCTGGAAGTGCCCTGCTGGAATGTGCCATTCTGAGAGGGCACACTCCAAGTTGGCGAGCAGTGACCAATCATCACATTTCCTGCCAGGATAGGTTGAGAGGGTCACCGGCTACTTGGGAGGGCCCACTCTGTGCGAGTTTCAGCCCAGTGCTGTGCTGGAGTTGGCTCACAAAGCCCACAGGAGCTGAATCTCTTCCCAACTCCATGTTCAGCGGTGCCACATCGGGAACTTGAAACGGGCCCGAGTGGAAGGATTTATGCCTCAGAAACTGGCAAACACTACAGATCAGGGATTTGGGGGAGAGGGCTGATTTTTGGACATTTACAGCACAGCGCTGGCCACTGCTAACCCTGGGCCTCTGGGAGTGAGACAGCCTGAGTGCCACCCTGGGCCCCACCCCTGCGCCTGCATGCTCTACTCTTCCATCTGATAAGATGCAAGTGAGAAAGCGGGAGAACCAAAATGTCTTCCTTCATTCAAGGGCAGGGCCAAGGTTTATTACGGCCTTCTCAGGGCTCTCAGCTGAGCTGCAGGTGCTGATTATCCTTGCAGTCAGAACTGCCACTGGGCAACCCAGTCACCTTGGGCCTGCAGTTGACTGAAGAGCTACATGTCTTTTCCACATGGAAAGTCCAGAAGATGCAGAAGTCGGACATAACACTGTCACCTTAAAACAGATGCCTGCAGCAAGAGCCTGAGACGTAGCAAGAGTCAGCTCAAGGCGGAGGTGAGCACGGGCTGCTGTGAGGCTTCTGGGGCAGGCAGAGGTGAAGTGTGGTCAGGCTTTGTTTTGTTTTTATAACTCTTTAAATCTTAATTAAAGTAATACATGTTCACTGTGGGGATTTTAGAAAATTCAGGAAAAAAATAAGAAAATTTAAAAGACACCTGTCATTGGAGGGGACAGTGGGGTTTAGAGAGCCAGAAGGAGATCAAGGAACAGTCTTCCCACATGGGGAAGATCTGTCCCCACTCAGGATCTCGGGGTCCTTTGCTGTAATGGAGAAAAACAATGTGCCCTTTACAGCCTCAGAAGTGTTCAGAATAGAGATAGTGATGGCGCCAGCCAGGGTAGCACCTGGGCACCCGGGATGCTGTAGGCAGCAGTGTGGCTGGCACAGGAGCAATCTGGTGATTTGTATTAAAATTATTAAAACTTCTTACAAAGGTGTATAAAACTAAACTTAACAAGTCAATATGGCAAGTGTGGACAGGAGCGTATATAAGGCTATTCACTCTACCCTTGATGGAAAGCCATACACAGCCTAAACATTCCATGACAGCAGATTGGACAAATTGTGGTGGGTGTTTGCGCGCCTGTGTGTGTTTTTGTGTGCATTTCAGGGATGGATTAACCACACTCATACCCATATATATGTACATATGCAGGTCTCTACCTGTCTGTGGGAGACTATCCAAATGTTAACAGGGCTACTTGTTAATAGTAGGAATACAGAGGATTCTTTTGCCGGGGGCCTAGAGGACAAGGTATGTGTGTGTGAATGCCAGTGTAGGGGCTTATCTGGATTTTCTAATTTTCCTACAAGGAGTATCAATGACTTATGGGATTAAAAGTTATAAGAGGTGCTTTGTGTGCTGTAAATCCTAACAGATGTAATAGCTGTCCCACACACACAGCCCCAGATGGGCTACAGGCATGCAGATGGGCCTGCGTGGGTGCAGGACTCAGCAACAGACCTACAGTGGTGCTGTGACTCTCTCTGGAGCTACTTCTGCCCTGGTCTCCTGAGACCTTTGTGCTCAGAGGCAATTAGAATGAATTGTTGTTTTTGATGAATCTGTTTAAGAGTCCAATTACTGGATGGAGATCTCCACGTGTCTTAGGACTAACTCAGGCCTCAGCTACTAACTAGACCTGATCCAGAACTTTGCTGCTAAACCCCAGGGATCCCCATCTGCTTCTTTCTCGTGTCTTCCCTGACAGGGGTCTGCAGCTCACCACAGCAGCCCCTTCGCCGCCGCACAGCTAACAGACACAGATGTGGCTGCTGTGCCCCAGCACCAGGGTCACATTGGACAGCGAGCCTGAAGGGCGCCGAGGCTCCATGGTCAGGTCCTCATTCAAGCTCATTAAAACTTTTTAAAAGCACCCCAAAGCAAGGGTCTCCGAATCTCCACTGCTTCTCTGAGGCTGGGGCAGAGGATGGCAAACTTTAACAGAGAGGTTTAGATGAACTTGGAAAGACAAAACAGGGACACAACAATTCCGTTTTTACAAAATGCTGTTATCAAGAGGCAGGCGCTCAGGCATTGCTTTTGTGCATTATTGTGAGAAGGTCAAACGGCAGAAACATACAGAAAGGATAAGAGAATTAAACACTTTAAAGAATTTGGTGAGAGGACAAATGATACAAAACATTCAGTAGAAGTGACCGTTGGAAACGAGACTTTAACAGCATTGGTGACTACATCGAAGGAGACGGGAAAACCAGGTTTCTTATCCTTTCTTTTGGTATGTGAGGTGGGGGCTGCCCAGCAGTGCTTGAAACAAGGCATCGACCAACAGTGGACAGTTTTAGTTCCGGGTTTCATTCTGCAAACACGCCTGCTGCCTCAGAATCAAAACATCATTAGGGTGAGGTCGCCAGGGCACACTGACAGCTGTCACCATAAAACACTCATTTGACACTTTGCTCATAGAAGCAAACTGTGTCGACTGCTAGAGAAGCAGCGGAGCAAACCGGTGCAACCTGCAGACGCATTGCTTCCCTCAAGCTTGGAAATGAACATATATTATGTAGACACGCATGTCAACAGCAGGTACCTGCTGAGGAAGCACTGGCCCTAAGTCATACCCACAGGCAGGCTGGTGGCCGTGAGGATGCTGCGTGTCACACGGCTGCATCCCAGCTTCCTGTTTTGCTGTCTGACCCCTTGGTTTGCCCGCAGTCTACAGGTTTTCAGGGCAGTCCTGCTCAGAAAGGTTGCTAGCTCTTCCCCCCTTGCCTTACAAGAGAACCTTGTCTGAATTTGAGAGTGTCAAGAGTTTGACTAGTCTGTCAAACTCGAGTCTGACGGCTGGTGTCAGGGGCTCATGCAGGGCAGGCCCCGTGGGAAGGCTCAGCGGCACTGGCTCATCTGCAGTTTACACGGGCCAGGGCAGGCGGGGCATGGCCTGGGCAGCGGCACTCACCTGCGCATGCACTCCAGGGCCTGAGTGAAGACCTGTGGGGCCATGCCGTGCTCGTGCTGCAGGATCAGGCACTGCTCCAGCGTCACTGACATGGCGGTGCGGTCCTTGGCACTCTTACAGCTGGTGAACCGAACCCCGTTAAGGCGACGGCAGACCTGCCAACAGAAAAACAGGCTGCGCTCAGGAGGGGGCACTCCACAGAACAGCAGTACGCTTCACACAGAGAGGCTCCTAGCCTGGCCAGTAAGGTGTGGGGCAGTAACTCAGCACCCAGGCCTGGCCAGAGTTTCCGCTTCTGCTCCATGTCCTTCCAAGACCAGTGAAAGAAGCCAAGTCACTTACAAACACAAGGCCGTGGTGCTCACAGGCCTGCCTTCATCCCGGCCGTCCCCTGTGCGACCTGCCTTCGCCCACCGGACGCTTCTTGGTCTGGCCTCCCTTTTGTGGCACCGCTGTCCATTCACTGACCCTTACCAGCTGTCCCCTTCCAAACCATGCCTGGGCTTCTTGTTAGATTCATGTCTGACTGCTGATCCCTCAGGGAAAGAGGGCAGTGAAGGTGACCCACTGAGGGGAGGCCAGAGTCACTCACAGGATGCCCACAGTCCTCAGCCAGATCTGCAGGTCTTTCTGGAAGGCAGGGGATAGACCTGCTGACCCCTGCTCTCTTCCTTCATGCATGGAGACAAGAACAGTTCAGAAGTTCCACTCCCCCTTGGCTACCTCCTACCAGGCTCCTCAGGCCCTTCCAGCCAGCCCCACCACAAACATAGGATTAGTGCCAAGGCACGTCCCTCCTCACAACTGAATGGCTCATATGGTGAGAGCAGCTTCCAGACTGGGAAAAGGCTATCTGAGAGCCCTTCCTCTCCCCGACAGGAAGAACATTAGGGACATAGCACCACTAGCCATGATCCTCAGTACACAGCCACCAAATCCAGCAAGCTCTAAAACAGAATTACTGTTTTTTTGGTAATTTGTGGCAACCCCGTTTGGCAGCACAATCAGATATGAGCTGGTGTGAGACCACTTAACAGCCTTTATTTATCCCACTTTATGTAAACAGTCATACTTTTCAGTGGGGAAATAATGTAACTTTGATTCCAGGGTGCTGCTGTAGGCAGGATTATAAATGGCCGTGGAGCACTGGAAGCAAGTGAGACCATTTACTGCTGTGGAAGAGACTCAGGGCTCAGAGAAACATTTTCCTGACAAGAGAGGGTGATACTTTATTTACTCATTTTTTTGAGTCAGCGTCACACTCTATCGCCCAGGCTAGGTGCAGTGGCATGATCACAGCTCACCACAGCCTTAACTGCCTGGGCTCAGGCAATCCTCCCACCTCAGCCTCCTGAGTAGTTGGGACTACAGGTGTGCCCCCCCACCATACCCAGCTAATTTTTCAATTTTTTTATAGAGACGAGGTCCTGCTATGTTGCCCAGGCTAATCTTGATCCTCCCATCTCAGCCTCCCGAAGTACTGGGACTATAGGTGAGCCACCGCACCTGGCCAAGGGTGACAGCTTGGAGTGAGTTGCTCAGGAAAGCTGCAAGGGAGCAGCCTCCACTGCTGCTCAGGCTCTGTGCTGCAGGGCAGTGGCTCGGGCGTAGTGGGCAGTGCAGTGCCTCCTCTCTCCTGTGTCCACCCTTCCCCTGTCCTTAGGCCTGGGCAGGGAGCCAGAACACCACAGGGGTCACCTCTGCCAAATCCCAGTACCAGGTAGGTTTTGCTGCTGCGGGGAAGAATTAACTGCACCCCCTCACTAGGGGTGAGTGAACAACTAGCTAAGAAATGGCTATGATACCCAGGCTCAAAGTGATAACTGGGAATTTTACTAGTAAATTTATGAGAAAATATTTGCAGGGTAAGTACTTGGGAAAACAAGCAGATCAGAACTGCAATGTGCAATAAAGATTGTTTAAAGAGACCTGAAAGGTTACCACAGTCTCCCTTTGAACCTAATAAAAGATGCAACAGGCAATGAGTTTTAGCTAGTGTTGACCACGCAGGCTTCTGAAGGGGACAATCGTCATCACATCAACTCAGCTATTAAATGCTCCAAGGGATAAAGTGTGTCAAGCTGTCTCAGGCAGCCCCAAAAGAATAAGCTCACAGGCAATGTTCAGTGTCTTCCAGAGTTTTAGAACATACTCAGTGACTTCCTCTCGTGTCCATGTGGAAAAATTTGCTCTCTCCATTCCTGACTGAGATTTTGATTTGTTAATATCATTGTTGTGACTTTGGTAGTGGGCATAGCAACAGCCTCCTTTCCTCACTATAGTAAGTACCTCAGCTGCTTGCCAGAGAATGTCAACATTCTTATTCTTGCGGGCGTGCACGTTCTGACCCAGAAACCGCAGCAGCTCTGGCAGGCATGTCTGACTCCGAGATCGAGGTAAGCCTGAAAGAGAAGAGTCCATGAGAGTGGGTACTGCCCAGGAATGCTCCCCCACTGGGGCTTCTATGTGGATCAGATTCGATAATCCACATGAAGTGTGTAGAAAGGGGTGGTCTGGCTCATGACAGGATTTGACAAACTTGTCTTTTTTAACCGTATTCACCAATGAAGACCACGAGGACACCCCAGTTTCTGGGCTCCTGGGCTCAGCTCTCACATTACTGATGATCTTTAGCTAAGTCCCTGGAGGACCCCTTTACTCAGCTCTTAATGTCGTGTTTCCCAAGCTGGCTGTGGCACAGAACACCTGGGGAGTTTCTGAGACCCTGATGTCCAGACCCTCCCACCACACTCTGGGCTGGGGCCCAGGCATCGGTATTTTTCCAAACTCTCTGGAGTATGACCAGGGCTGAGAGCTACAGCCTCAACAGCGTCAATCACATCTGTGCCAAGTCTCCTTCACTCTATGCCCTGATTTTGCACTCACATCTCTCATGCTCAGTAGAAAAAGAACTCTTGTTTTACTGGGAAGACTGAGGCCGCCCAACCCAAGTTCCTGGAACTTCCTCCATTCACATACCTACCCCCCTCCTCTCTTCCTCCTTGCCAGGACAAGCCTCGCCTTGGCCCTGCAGGACTTGGGCTTATAGCTCTGTCTTCTTGCATCTTCCAGCACCTCTCTCCTGGGTCCTTCTCTTGGACCTCTGAGCACTCCGATACCACCTCTGGCACTCCAGAGGTGTGTCCAACATCTCCACAGCCCATCCCTCAAGTCGCTGCCAGTCATCACCACCTGATTCCCTAGCCCACCCCTCACCACACTGAGACTGTCCCCCGAGTGATCAGCAGGGGCTCCTCATCCACAGATCCAGAGGCCTGAGGTACCCCATGCCCTTCCAGTTCCTGCTTCCTTCCTGCTCACCCACGATGCCATCTCTGACCCTTTATTGAATCCCTTCTTCCCAACTGGCCTCCAGAGCACAGGCCTCCTCCAGATACTGTCCCCAGCCCCCTTCTCATCCTGCCACTCACAGTCCTCAGCTACGAAAGGGCTCCACCTCACGTCTGCACTCCCCATGGGTGGCTGTGCCACAAGCTCAGCTAGGCCAGCGCTGTGCTCACTGTCTCCTCAGCCCTTCAGTGCTCCCCAATGGTACATCCCTCGCTTCCCCAGCAGCTGCTGCGAGAAGCTGACCCTCAGTCCAAACTCTCCCTGATGGCTAGCCCCTTCTCCCCAGGCCCACTGTCACCACCAGGTTAGAGTCAGAGTGAAGCAACTCTCCAAAGCCAACAACACATTCTGGCTAGACAAATCCGTGAATAGGTAGCTTTTCCCACACTGCTTCCCAGGAAACACTACTGCAGTCATATAGACTCCCTGACATGGCTCAGAAGGTCCTCTGCAGTATCTTACAGGATGGCTTCGGTGACTGTCAATGTACACAGGCCCTGGAGCCAGACAACCCTTTTCTTCGTCTGTAAACAGACACTGACAACCACCTCACAGGGATGTTGCGGGATTCAGTGCGGAAACGGGTGCAGAACTCTTAGCCCAGAGCCTGGCACATCATTGACCTGTAAAACTCCACCAGCAGTACTGTTCTACTACTGTTTCCAAACCCTAAGGTCTACAGCACCTTTCAAAAGAACGCAAGTGAAGCCTGTTCGCATCTTCCCAGTTGATGTGTCTTTGGAAACTCCCATTACAGGACATCAGTATAACTCGACATGGGGATGTGTCTCCTCACCCGTGTGGTGTCCCCTAGGGGCAGTGCTTGCACAGAGAGGCAGGGCACTCTGCGATCTGCTTTCTCTCCAAGGCAAGTCTACGACTCATTGACCATCCGGTCCCGCAGTGCTTTATACAGGGTAGGCACTCAGGGAAAATTTACTGGGTTGAATTCGGGAGAGAATTCCATGTATAAAGATAGTGCTGCAAGGTCCTGGGCTTCTCCTTGAGTTCTGTGGCTGTCAGAGTCGTTGCTGCAGCATCTTCACTAGAGCCGTGCAACAGCAGAGGGACAACAGCTGTCGCCTCTCGAGCCCCTCCAAGGGGATGCCACAATGGGAGCCATCTCGTCGATAAGCACCCAGCGTCTGCCTAGCATTTTACTTTAAGCACCATGGAAGGAGGTTCATGAGCAGCTCCCCTGGCCAAGGGTAGATAACCCCCGGGCCCTACCAGCAGGTTCACAATGTATGCCACAGAGCACAGCAATGAGCATCAGCGACTATGACAGTGCACGAAAGCCCCACATCACACAGCTTAGAGGAGGATCAAGAGCAGAGAGAGGAGTGAGGGCTGAGCTGAGGGAGCTTCTCTGGGTGTGGATTCAAGCCAGCCAGAGTCTGAAGAGGTGAACGGGCTGCCGTGTGTGTGTGTACATGCATGTGTGTGCATGCCAGGATAAGGAAGAGAGAAGAAACAGTGCAAACCACATGCATGTGTGTGTACACACACAGGCAGGGTGAGCTGGCAATGTGAGTAAGCATGTCTGAGCTTAGACATCCAAAGTGATAAAAAGGTGAGCAGGCAAAACCCATTGTGAATGAAGAAATACTTACAATCCTCGGGCAAAACTTCCTTAAATTGTTCAAAGTAGGAATTTAACCGCACCAAACTCTCCACATTGATGACTTCTTGCAAAGATGTATCGCCAAACCTTGGGAGATTACAAGGGATGTCATTAGCCAGGTAATGTCACCTTCTCCTAACACACAGCTGCATGAAAGGTAGCAATGCCGACTCTGTCAGAGGTTTACTGCACCTATCTGAATGCTAAGCCACTTTCCTCCTTCTGAGCATAAAGCCATCTCCACTGTGTTGGTGACTAGTGGGGTGTGTTTACACCCCACTAGTGGGAACACATGTAATTTGTTACAGATGTGTCTAAGAGATTATCAGAACATGACCTGGGACAGACCCAGAGACTGGAGGGCTCTGTCCCATGTGGCACAGGAACCCCTCTCAGGGCCATTTGGCTCAGAGTCCCTGTGTCCTCCTGCCTCGAGGTACTTAGTAGATAGGATGGCAGTGGGGTATGACTGGGGACACAGCTCTGTCCTTGAATCCGAAGTCACTCTCTGTGTGCAGATGAGCCTGCCTGACTGCCCTTCCAAGAATGACCATGAAGCCTTGCTCTTCCCTCAACATGCAAGTCCACGCTGTGTACACCTGCATGGTGTAAGGGACCATGTCCCAGAAGCCTAAGGGAAGAGGTTGTAGAATGCCACCTGCAAGGAAGGCACAAGGTAGCCATTAAAAAAGTTCAAGTAGTGGGTCCCCAGTGCAGCCCCACCATGTCCCTGCTGAGTGACCTTCCTGAGCACCAGCCTCCTTGTGGCCCTATAACATCCCTCAAAAGGAGGACTCCTGTGGGTCACTGTCCATCCACCACAGCACCCAGAACAGTTTTTCCTCTAAGCGACTGCTTTCTCAGGGTTGTCCCTGACCCCAGGCCCATGGCCTCCCCCTCTACAGGGTCCCCCCTCAGCTCATAAGCAAGACCTGCTTACTAGTGTCCTAAGAGCCAACGAAGGAGCAAAGCCTAGCCCCAAATCTCCAAGTCTTCCCTGTCCTCAGGACCTCCTCTCCAGCCCTCCGCTCACAGCCTCTGGTCCTGCCTCAACCAGCTCCAGAAACTGCTCTTGTAGAACCATTGGGATTGAAAGCTGCTGGATACAGGAACCATCATTCCTGCTCCCTGGGGCCACCTCCCTGCTGGGGCTCTGTGAGGCTGCCACCCTTCCTGCCATGGGCTCCTTCAGCACTGGTCACACCTTTGGACTCTGCTTCCTCGACTGGTGCCCTGAGCCCATGCCCAGCTTACCACCTGACCCTGGACATGAGCCCCCTGCAGGTTTGTGAGCTCAGTGGGTGGGCTTGTCTGGTCTACTCTCCTGGCTGCTTTTCTCTCCCACACAGCCCCACTGAAAGCAAACCTTCCATTGCCACTGAAATTGTTCTCCAGCCTGTCCCTTCTCAAAACACCGACACCATCCTCTGGCCTGGATCTTTCCAGCAACCTCATCTTACTTGTCCCCTAATCGCCTTCCGGCACGTGCCAGCAAAATGACTTACCTAAAATATAAATGTGATCATGTCCTGTCCTGCTGAAAGTCCTTCAGTGTCTCTCAGCAACCATACATATTTTCCAAGTGCAGGTGACCCTACACCTAGGATCAACGGACACTGACCACCAGGTTCATCAAAAGGCCCAGCAGGAATATGGCATGCCATTCTGGAGACCCTATTTCCTTAACTGCAAGTACTTTAAGATATCTTTTCATACTAAAATACACATACCACATGAATGCAGATGGAAACACAGGAAACAGTCACTTACTAGTGGAAGGCCATTACAGGCTACACACACGCTACACACCCTATCCCCCCGACACCCTATGTGTGCACACACAGGGCACACACACACGACTGCTCTCTGTGCTGTGGCAAGCAATCTTGGAGGAGAGTTGCCAGGCGTAAGCCTTCAGGATCAAGGTGCGACTCTTGGCCTGCATGCAGGGCCTCCCTACTCTTACCACAGCAAGCCTGCCTAGAATCTGGTGCCCCCGTCCCCCATGCTGTTTCTTCCTGCCAGGCCTTTACTCAGTCTTTCTGGTCTGAGACACCCAGTCCCTCCTCTACCTCCTCAACTAATTCCTAATTATGCTTCAAAACCCTCTTCAGCCTCCTGCCGCCCCATTCCAGGAAGACTTTGCTGAATGGCTGGACTGAGAATCCCCTAACTCCCTGCATTTACTTGTCTTCATCATTGTGCCCATATCGCTCTCTCCCAGCCAAGTTCTTGAGCACAAAGACCACTCCTGCATCATCCTTGTGTCTCTGGCACCAAAGATAGTGCCGGGTACATGGTCACGCTGAAAAAATATTGGCCAAAAGGCCGGGTTTGGTGGTTCAGCCTATAATCCCAGCACTTTGGGAGGGCAAGGGGAGTGGACAGCCTGAGCCCACGGGTTCGAGACCCACCTGGGCAACTTGGTGAGACCTCGTCTCTACAATAAAATAAAATTTAAAAATTAGCCAGGTGTGGTAGCGTGTGCCTGTAGTTCCGGCTACTTGGAAGGCTGAGGCGGAAGGCTCACCGGAGCCCAGCAGGTTCTCTAGTCTGGGCAACAGAGTGAGACTCCAACTCAAAAAAAAAAAAAGAATATTGGCCAAATGAAAGAAGAATGACAATGTCTCCATAATACTAAGAACCTAAAGAGGGGTAAGTATCTTTTCTTTTTTGGAGTACAGAGGTGTGATTGTAGCTCACTTAGCTTTGAGCTCCTGGGCTCAAATGACCGTCCTGCCTCAGCCACCCAAGTAGCTGGGACTGCAGGTGTGTACCACCACGCCTGGCTAAAATATACATTTTAAATTTCTATAGAGATGGGGTCTTGCTATGTTGTTCAGGCTGGTCTTGAACTCCTAGGCTCCAGCAGTCCTCCTGCCTAAGCTTCCTAAAGCTCTGGGATTATAGGCGTGAGCTACTGCACCCAGCCAATAAGTACATTTTCTATTTCATCTCCACAGTCACTCTGGCTGCTGTGGCCCCGAGGAGCCAGGACATACCTCTCGGCCAGTGTCTGCTGCTCGTTGATGCCCACGTTGAAGAGGACGGGTTGTACTCGCAGCAGCATGCCACTCTGGATCTCTCGGGGCAGCGTGTCGAACAGCGGACCTGGCAGAGGGATCCGCACGTTAAACCCATCGCTGGAGAAAGATAGAGAGAGGGAGAGCAGGGTGAGGCTGTGACCCTGGGACCGGGAAGGACCTAGCAGGACTCAGTGCCAGAGCCCGTCTTGCCCTCTGGCTCACTGATGGCCAAACCAAGGGCCACAGACCTTTAAGTGGTGACACAAACATAGGGAGCTATGGCCAGTGTTTTTAACAGAATGAGATATCATGAAAAGTTTAAAAGGAAGAGTGTACGCATGAAAAGCACTGCTCTGGCTCGGAGAATTTTAAGCCAACATTTCTACCGATTTCCTGTGATGACGGGCAGCATGTCCGCTGAGGCGTTAGAAGTGGCCTGAGTGACTTTGAAGGTCACGTTCCTCAAGTCCATGATTCCAAGGCTCATGTCCTCCAGCATCGCCAGCTCCTCACCTGGAGGCAAGAGGGAGGGGCTGTCAGGCGGAGGGCCCTGCCATTCCAGGACTCGATGAAGGTGAGGAGCTCAGGCCTGGCTGAGCTCAGGCCTGGCTGCGACCAGGGAAAATGGGTGGGGAGGTTGTCAGTTTGGCTCTGGTGGGGGCCTCTGAGCCTCTTCCCCTGTGACTCAGTCCTCTGTGAGTCAGCACTGTTACTGAAATTCCATGGCCACATTAAAAAATGCAGCTGGTAGAAACACACGCCACCCTTCCCCACTCTTCCCTGGGCAATCACAGGACTGTGAGGAAGGAAGAAGACATGCAAACGCTCTGAAAGCAAAGCCGACTCTCTTAAAATGGAAAAAGAGATAGTGAAACAGCACTGCAGTGGCCAAATCCTTCCATTACAGAAGGATTGATATCTACTCAGTATCCAAGAACTCTAAATAGTAACAAGTACTTTCTTAAAATGGCCCATTTTCACCTTCTCAGAAGAAATAAGCAGAAAACAAGGGTAGAAAGAAGACAGCCTTTTCAGAGGGCCATCTGAAAACATCGGTTAAAGTGTAAAGTGCTCCTAGCCTTTACCTGGCAACTCTCCTAGTCATGCAGTAGCTGCAGAACCAGCCCAAGAGTGCCTTCATGCACACATGCCACCGCAGCACTGGATTAATAGAGACAATTCAGAAACAACCCAAATGCCTTCCAGGAGGTTACTGGCTAAACATCCGGCCTCAACCAGAAACAACAAACCAAGGGGTGTGTGTGTAACAGTACAGGAGTGTCCTTTGGTTCATTTGGCTCTCTGTTACAGATTTCCGTAATGTTTGGATTTATTTTCATCAGCACTCATTACACAAGTCCCATGTGTGCCGGCCTGCTGGTGGCTCACCATAAGTGCTCAGCAGGCTCTCGAACTGGGCCAGCAGCCCAATGGTGTAGAGCTGCCGCAGGAAGCCGTCATCATGCAGGCAGTTCCTCAGCTTGATGATGAAGCCACAGATGAGAGCAGTCAGCTGCAGGGGACACAGGGTGAAGTGGTGTCAGGGTCAGATACCTGATCGCCAAATAGCACCCAGCTTATTCCAGCCCCGGGCCCCTGTGCCTCTACTTCCATTGCTCCAAGAGGCTTCAGCAGCACACCTCCCGTCCCTTGGGGGAGTCTGGGGATGGGAGTGCCCTGGCTCTGGGTCCACAGAGACGGGGGTCATGGGAGGATGCTTGACACTCCGGGCTTGCTGTTCCTTTCACTCCTGGGCTAGAACCTTCTGAAAGCCCAGAATACATTCCACACAGACTCATACTAGCTCTGGCTGGAAATGGAGTGAAAGAGAACATGGTCAAAGCTTCCTCAGTGGGAGATTTTCTGTGGAATACAACTGGCTTGCCAGGGATGGACAGAGGAAACTGCAGAGAATCAGCTCAAACCAAAATCACTGTTCTTGTGACTAATTTGATTACTGGCAGCTATTACACTTGTTACATTCACTTCGGCTCTTCACATCTCTGAAAGATAACAGGAATCACCAAAACAGAATTCTGCAACGAGCCCCAGAGCTAACATCTCACGAACGATGTTTGTGCTGACAGCAAACATCCCTGTTGCCCTCGCTGAACTCCCCCGTAGGAAAAACAAGAGGTGGCAAAGAGGTCTGTGTCACCCACCACCCCAGCATCTCCTCAGTGCAGAACCAGCAGATGCTGTAGGCACTTCTTGAGGGAGAAACAAATACACGTTGGTTCAGTTCCTTCCCTGTGTTGAAGCCTAGACCTCTCGATGAAATGCACTGAACAGCAACAGCTGAGGGGAAACATGGCCGTCTGTGACCTTCTACAAGCGACGGGAGAGGAAAGGGGCTTCCCAAGCCTGCATTTCTGAGGTGGGGCGTGCCGGGGCCTCCCTGGTGGCGCTCCCAGGGCTTACGGTCTGGCAGAAGACCACATCACGTCGGTACTGCAGGCTCAGGTGGCTGGCTATTGTGGGCGCGCTGTCCTGCATGAGCAGGAAGACCATGGCCTTCTTGGCCTTGTCGCTCATCATGGCCACGCAGTCGGTGAGGGTGGTCAGCAGCGGGTAAAGAGCCTCGCTCCATTCACCTGGGCGCGGCGAAGGAGCATCACATTTAGAAAGAAAGATTTTAAGCGTTAGGTTCTGTCGATTTGCCAGGTCGCCCAAGCCCCAGCCACTGCACTGTCCCCTCCACTCCCCTCTCTATCTCTTCTGCATCCTCCAGCTCTGCTTGGCCCACGCTCTACCTGGAACCAACTCAGACTCTAAAGCCTCTAGCCCCAGGTCTTTACAGTAACCCCAAGCATCCGTGCTACTCCAGTGCTGCTGACACACGCCTAGTCTCCTGAATCTACTGGGGGCCCTACACGTAAATACGCAAAACTGTGCCTTTTGAGAAAAACAACAAAGAAGCTTCTGCAAGTTATGATGAGGCTGGACAATGATTCTGTCTGCAGGGACCCATCTCCTTCCATGCCACTGTGGCTCCTCTGCCTGGGGAGGGACGCACCCAGAAAAGTTCTGTTATCTCCCTTCTCTTGACCCAGGAATGAAGGCAAAGACCCCTCTGGTCCTGTCCAGTCTGGTGTGCAGTTCCTCACTTTCCACATCAGGAGGAGAGTCCATTCTGTGCAGCCCCTGAGTTTTCAGCTCTCAGAGTATCCCTCCCCTTGTGCTCATTTTCTTCCCCGCCCCATCCTGCTTGCCTGATACTATTTCTAGCTTAGCTTTCTTTTAGGAAGATAAGAAAACTTTGACCTTTCAAAAAACAACTTTTTAAAAATCGCACCTCAAAGGAAAAAAACAGAGTAAAAGGTATATTTGGTTTTGGTTATTTTTTCCCTTCCGATTTAGAAGACATTTAGAAGCAAAGCTCTGCGCTCATCAGTTATTATTTTGAACAGGTCACTAAGTCCAGAAATAGGCATTTGACCATCACCTCTCAGTGAACCCACCCACACCAAACATGGTGAGAAGCTGTGGAGTGAAGCCTAGGCAGCACATTCCCGTTAGGGTTCGAGCCACAGAACGCACCAGATCATGTCACAGCACTCGGGGAAGGCCACAGGGTTCAGAAACCATGTCACTGTCCGAGGGTAACCAATGTCTTAGGTAAACAGAATCTAAGAGATCGAGAGGAGGAATGTTTGGCTCTGCTCTCTCAAGTCATATGGTTAGCACTTTGTTGAGAAATAAACTTAGAGAAATACCTGAAATATGCAAAGGAACTTCTCTATATTCAGTGCTGGGTGAATGCGGGTGTTAAGTACGTGTAGCAGTTCAAAAGTTAGAAATGATAAAACTGTATATACAGGGGCACTGTATGTGGACAGAGATTTATATCTGTAATGGAAAATAGCAGGCTTAAATTTAGAAAGTCCCATAGCAAATAAGTCATAGTGACAAAGAACACTGGACTGAGAAATGGAAAATGTGAGTTCGGGGCCTGGCAGCTGCTGAGCAGTAGTGAACCACAGACAAGGCCCATGACCCCTCAGCCACATGGGTCCTTTTGGGAGTGGCACCAAATCATATCCAAGTCTCTTTCCTCCTCTAGGATTCTCAGAGACCATGTTTTTGTTTCCTTGAAAAACTCTGTTGAATGTATGTCAATTCTATTCAGTAGCTATTAAAAAAGGCCAATTACAATTAGGTTTCATTAGCCAAATAGTTTGGTAGGCAGTCATTAAGACTATTGTTCACTAAGAAGTAAATGCTTTTAGAGCAAATGTTGCCAATCTTACTTTGCTTTTCTATTTATTATTCATGTAATACATAATTAATATGCAAATCATAAAATGATCAAAATATACAAGTGGTCTTATTTGACTAAGTAAGCACTTTCCATATAACTTTTTCACTTTGCCTATTTCTCTTTAAACTAAATTCATATGAGAATGACTCCATTTTGCTACATTAGGAAAAAGCAATGAAAAAAACTGGCATAAAAGAAGGAATAAAAAGCACTAAGATATCTGTCCTGGAAAAGAGAAGATGTGCACACTAGTAGGAGGTGAGTATGATGTCTGCCTAGGAAAGGGTTCAGACACTTCTGGAACTAACAATTTTAAAAATTGCCAAACAAAGTAAATTTCTTGGGCAGTAATATGATTTCTATTCAGGACCTAGTTTAAGTAAAGACATCTGAGACTCTGGAGTTGGTGAAGAGTGTACACTCTGCTTCCTTCATTGAGGAAGTCTTACTGTGGAAAAAAAAAATCGGCTCAATGAAACAAATGAGGCTACCAATACCCTACTCCCCCGCCTTTTTTTTTTTTTTTTTTAGTTGAGAATCTGGGACTCTTACTCTGTGACTGGAATGCAATGGCAAGATTATGGCTCACTGCAGCCTCGACCTCCTGGTCTCAGGAAAGCCTTACACCTCATCCTCCTGAGTAGTTGGGACTAAAGATACACACCATCACATCCAACTAATTGTTTTATTTTCTTTAGAGACGTGGTCTTGCTATGTTGCCCAGGATGGTCTCAAACTCCTGGGCTCAAGCTATCCGTCAGCCTCAGCATCCCAGAGTCCTGGAATTACAGGTGTGAGCAACCACACTCAGCCCCAATCCACTTTTGAGGGCAAGCTCCTCATCTAGTTGCTAATTGGTAACATTCACTGAGTCATAGTCAATCCATCCACCACACTTTAGATAACTTTGAAGTGGTCTTTCAAATTCATATTCTGCTTCTGCATTTTTCCTCTTCAGGAGGGGAGGGAGCAGGGAAACTGTATGTGTCTGTGTATATGTTTTAGCTCAGATTAAATGCAGTTCTTCAGGAAGAGCCAAAGGAGCTCATGGCAGAGGACCATTTTAGCCTATTTAGCAGCAATTGTGGAAAAGCCACCAGTGTTTCTGGAAATGGCATAGCTGACATAAAACATGGAAGGTTCTGCAGGCACTATGTGTTGCTGGGGAACCTACAAGACTTCCTATCAGTCCGGCAAACTTCAGGGCCCAGACTTGAGAAGAACCCCTGAGCTGCTGCGGGGCAGGCACACATGCCACCTGTCTTTTCCTGTCCCTAACTGCTGTGTGCAGTCCTGGACTCCACCACCACTGAGGCTCAGGGGACAATCGGCTTGGTTTGAAGGCACTGGCCTGCCATGGAGGTCAGCTAAGGAAGACTGGAAGCCCAGAGACAGATATAAAGGAAGAGCATAAGGCCCAGGCCCAGGAGAGGCAATGGGGAGGAAGAGATCAAGGTTAACTGTGTATTTACCAAGGCCTCAGTGACCTTGAAGGTCAAGGGGATTGGGGCCCAAGACCTCCTCAAGGCTAAAATGACTTTTTAAGAAAAAGAAACTGAGAAGGGGCTGAAAGCAAATTGGGAAGGTTTGATGTGGCTGGTCAGATTAGCCTGCCAACAAGTTACTTCAAATGGAGTTCTGGGGTTGCTGCCAAGAGTCACTACAGTGAGAGGATTCACAGTATGTGTGAAGGCCAGGCTTCACTGACAACTGATGGGAACAGTTTGGTATATCCCACAATCATTAGTTGCTGCCCTCCAGATATAAAGCAGGTGTCCTGCTATCTTACATTTATATCTAGTCAGAAATATGCAATCGTCAAACGGATCAGGTAGCTGATCATGGAGCGCAAGAAAAGAAAAAAAACACCAAACTATATTATTTGGGAAGTTCATGCTCACTCTGGGAAAATCACAAGCCATATCCAGGAAACTCAATATGAACTAGATCAGGGGTTGGCTCACTTTTTCTGTAAAGGGCTAGACAGTAAATATTTGGGGCAGTGAATGCCACAGGGTCTCTGTTGCAATTAACTCAACCCGGGCACTGCCACACAAAAGCAGCCATAGACAGTACAAGGATGGTGGGCATAGTATCCAATAAAACATTATTTACAGGGGCAGACTGTGGACAGAATTAAAGTCAGAGCTGTAGCTTGCCAACCCTTGAACTAGAACCATAAACATTGGTTTCTACATAAAAATGCAGCCAAAAAAAAAATCTCATTTTTAGTACTAATTCCAACTTAGGCCCATAGCAATGTCTAAAAAGAATCCTAAGGCTGCATCCAGACTCTGAAGAGAGAATGCTGAATGATTTCGAATGTCACAGTATTTAGCAGAGATGTGTTATCTGAGTGTGTCCTCAGGGTAATGCTCATCAGTTCACATAGGAAATATTCCTGGTGTACACATCTCTAAAACAGGTCACCCACTTCAAGAAGCCCAATGCACTCTGAAACATCAATCATCTCAAAAGGCTTCAGCATGTAAAAGTAAAAAAATCCATGTAGTAGTCTGCTTCAGGTTATAATTCCATCAGCCCAAATGGTCCTTCACCAAGTCTGTAAAGAGTGTTACCATGCCTCACAAGCAAGGAGATCCTAAAATATTTTCCTAACTCTGGGAGCGTAAGGTTATCTTTGATAACTTTGCTGTAAACTCGACCTGAATATTAACAAGACATCGGCAGGAGCCTTGAACGGAAACCACATACCTGGGCTGGACTCTTCAGGAGGGGGGCTGCAATCTGCACAGAAATGGAGGGCAACACGGATGATTAAGGAGCAACACACAGTTCAAACACGAGCAACTCAAGCCTAGAGCAGCTGACCAAACAGGGAAGGGCCTGGGTGCCACTCTGCCTCTTCCCCAAGAAACCTTATAAAGGCACTCCGGCTGCTCCGAGGAGGCCGAGCCCTCTCAGAGGTTTAAAAAAAAAAGCCAGATTCTCCAGCATAAACATTCATGCTGCTAATATTTCAACATAAAATGCTCTTCAGGATAAGCGAACTAGCTTATTACAATGTGATAAATGCCACAGAACGAAAGCTCCCACATAAATCACATTGTTGTGACAGAGCACCATGTTGGCTCATAACAGCTGGAAGCAAACTTGTAATGAGAGAGACTGACCAGTAAACTGAGCATTCCCCAATCAGAGCCTACCACTCTGACTCACTGAGGAAGCCTGGGCTCAAACTGACTGCTGAGATCCAAAATGTTAAGATCCAGTAATGAAACCAATATACCAAAAAAAAAAAGCCTCTATGCCAATCTTTCAAATGTAAAAGTTTTGTGATCTAGGGCAAGTATCTCCAATTAGAATGTCCCTCCAGGTCCTCAAAGAAGATCAATTTACCAATTTTGATTCAATTCATCTATACTGAGTCACAGTGGGATATACTCATTTCAATTCCACATTCCCCTGAAAAACTGAAATTCCCAGTTAACTGGGTATGCCATCTGAGAGGAAAACTAGTTTGAAAAGGGATCCTAGGAGTGAAATTTTATTTTATGTCTGAGCTTTTTGGTTCAAAACATTTCTTCAGGATACTGAAACAAAGTGCTTTCAGTTCCCCAAGAACAGCCAGAATCCGGTTTATGGAGACTTTTACAACATGGATTTTCAAGAAGAGGGGTGGCTTGGGATTATTTTTCTTTAATTCTTTAGAAATTACTTCTTAAGCTGGCAAAGAGGAAAAAAATATAAAGGCCCAGAAGCAAAAAAGGTTCAGTCTCTCCATTAGAACCCAAGTACCCTGAGACCATCTAGCTGACAAGGAGAAAAAGCCACAGTGGTGTGAAGTGATAGAGAATAGTGATTCCTAAACATCAGTCTCTCTAATCAGGTTATCTCAGGCCTCAAAAAAATACAGATTTTTTTCCTTCCCATAATCCCTCCTCCAGGATTCCAAGTCTGTGAAAAAGGAGGAAAGTCCAGGAGCCCGTTTCATGAACTTCTGTGATGTTCCCAAACAGCTGGGACCATTCCTGTGTAGGCATCAGGGATTAAATCCAGTTTGCTAAATTCATCTTTCAATCAGAGGGGAGAGGGAAGGGGTCTCCTCTGACATGCCTGGACCAGTAGCATGTAATCTGTCTTACGTCATGGAGTCTGTTGAGATTTGATGACCACTTATGGACTTTCTCTCCTTGCACATGCAAATTTCGGTACATAACCTCAGGGGTTTTCCAGGTTAAGAAAAACCTGGTCTGGGATTATTTTGTAAATATTGTATTATACTTATGCCTCATAAAACAGTAGGCAAATTCTATTATTGTAAATGTTGACTTAATCTGTTTTTGTATACATTTGGAAAGTTGTAAACATATGGATGAAACTATGTTCATATTGAGCCAGAAGTGTTGATCCTGCTTCTTGAAATGAAATTACTCTCAATGAGGAGCTCATTCAGTATTTAAAAAAAGAAAAAAGAAAGACCTGGTCTGGGGTCTGAAGGCCTTTTCAGGTACGAGGACAGTGAGTGTCTCAGGAAGGCAGCAGAGCCACCAAATCGTGGCGGGACAATGGCAGTGTGCCTTGACAGGAGGGGTGTGGGGCACTTGTGAGGAAACGGGGAGGCAGAGAGGCAAGAGGAGCCTTGGTGGCTACAGCTGGCAGGGACTAGTCAGTAGGTCCCCAGCAGAACTCCAGCCCTGGTTGACCCCCACCTGCCAGGCAGGCTCTGATTGGTTCTGTGGGAAGGTGAGCTGAGAGGCCAGGCAGTTCCTTAGTGAAAGAGGAAAACCAAGGACCTAGGAGGGGGTAAAGACTGGAATGAAAAGATGCCTTTGAAAGCAGTACAGAGTTGTTCTCATATAATACATAAGTTGGTGTGAACACATCTGCTCATAAAACTAAAACAACTGCTTCAATGATTTGAAAAGGTATAAAGTCATGACAGAGCCAAGTTCTGGCACTGCAGACAAGCAATTCACCAAAATAAGTAGCTCACAGTCTAGTTCTTTCTGACTTTCCTGCTCACACTGTGGTCTAAACATCTTCCTGGCTATGCTCAAAATGTTTAAATTCAGAATTGTCCCTGGTTAATTTAGTGGCATATGGTTTCATACACTTCTTTGAGTATTGCTCAGCAGAGTATGGATCTCTCACATGCCTGCTTCATATTCTCGTTATTACAACAGCTGGTTTTTATGGCACACATAAAACAAGTCAACCCTAAATAGCATAAATAAATGTTCATTTAAATAACTTTAAAAGTAAAATCGAATTGTCTATGTTTAAACAATACAAGATGTGCCTTTAAAAATAGGACATTAAGTTATAGATCTAAAACACATCTGATTAAACAAACTAGCCTCTGCATTTTAAAAAAATCCAATAAACTATTTTTTATGCCTGCAGAAAAAAATGTAAAATTACAAACAAGATAATATTAACGAGAAATAAGTAATGAACCTTCAGAAAATTTTAAAAAGAACAATTTACATTAAGAAAGTAGAACATGAACAAAGATAGCTTCATCAATCAATCACAGTTTTGGAGAAGTGAAGCTAGAATCCCCCCAAATGGAAAAGTGGTTGACGTGAAGACTGTTGAAACAGAGGTTCGAGTGAGACAGACTGCAGGCAGATTAAAGAGGCAAAGGATATCCCACTAACGGAAGGACTGATCAAGAAGATGGGACAAAGACACATGATTATACCTTGAACAGAAGTCGCCCAGTTCAGAATTTTAAAGCCTTCGCTGCATGAAGCCTAACTCTAGCACTTCTGGGTCTTACTACAGCTCAAAACTCCCAAGAAGAACAGAAAGGAGGCAGAAGTTAGGGCTGCTGTCAGGTCTCAGCTGTTGCCAGGTCTCAGCTGCAGATCCATGGCCCTCTCCAGGAAGAAGCAGGAGGCACCTGAGTTGCAGGGAGCAAGGACCTGCTTATTTAGAAAACACACGTTCCCCAGCTTCAAGGCTATCCACAGGGTAGTGTCTTGGTATGCTCTGCATCTCTACAGACAGAAGATCGTTCTGAAGTGTGCTGCCTCGTGCCAGTGTTCTACCATTTACTGAAGACCCCATCCTCAAGGGTGGTGCCAAACAAAGCAACCTAACTCAGCCCACCAGGGGCCCAGGAAAGGGATTCCACTCTCCAACTGTTACCAAGTCCTAAGGTAATGTGCCTCTGCTGGATAACAAGTGCCCAGACAACGCCAACCAGTCTTAGGACAAGTTCACTTTGCCTGTCAACATCCCTCATCCAGCTGTGTCCCCGCATGACTGACCCTTCCCCATTTCATTCTACCAACTCCTAACGCAATAGACAATCACATCAGAAAGGTGTCTGCATCTCGGCTTCCTCAGGTTCTCAGGTTTGGCTTACAAACCTGAAAAGCCCAGGAGCCCAACTCTCACAGCCATGGCAGTGTGTCCCAGGAGGGTCCTGAGGTTCTGCCTTTGGCAGAGATGCAGATTCACAAATGAGCTCTGGCTGCATGGAAAGGAAACCAGAGTCTCCGCCCTCAGTGCCTGCTGCTCCAGGCACAGGACAGCCCGTTCTGCCTGACAGCCCTCCCTGCAGTCTGCAAGGTGGAGGACGGCATGGAGTCAGAAACACAGACCAACAGAAGTGACGCAGCATGAGGCAGAGACAGCTCATGGGAAGCATGGATGCATACGCACATGTGGTCAGATGAGGACGGCATGCAGCGGAAGGCATGGTGGAGGGGCATGGTGAGGAGGGGACATCACAGAAGGGGTCTTCTGGTCTGATCCAGTAGGCGTGGCTGTTCTGGTTACCTTTCTTGCTGGTGCAGCTGCCCGCACAGGGGAAGACATCCTCGCAGCCCTCACCATGCAGCCGTTCCTTCTGCAGCAGCTTGTCCACCCGCTGAATGATGCACTCCAGGCTCTTGTCCACGTTCAGCCACACTTTCTCCTTCCAAACCAAAGGGACCCATTTGGGTCAGTGCTCCCAATTGAAAAAACTAACAAAACACAAACCAAACCACCCACTACGGATCTCCTGCCCTGGGCCACCATGCTCACTAAAACACCACAAGATTTAGAAATATCAAGATGATTCTTAATTCCCCATTTACAGTCCTTTTAATGTCCTATGGCCATTGTTTTTAACATTTGGGAGATGTCTGCTAGTAACTCTCGTGGAGGCAAAACAGTCCTCCAGTGCTGGCCCAAGTACCACAGGGTGCTGTCTCATCCCCTGCTCCTGCCACTGCAGACCTCCTACAAGGATCACACACAAACAGGACAGAGACCCCTTTTTGATGAAATGAAATGGAAATAGCCGATCATTTAGGACTGGGGAGGTAGGGAGGAGGTAAGGGAAGGCTGGGAATGATTTGCCAGAGCTGGAGGATTATTTTGCTGCTGACTGATCATTCACTGCTTTACAGAACAGTGCCTCTAAGCAGTAGTCCCAGCAGTAGTCCCAGACAAAAACAAGTTGCACCATGTGTCACTCCCTCAAAAGACACAGATCATATCTCCCAGGGCTAATTCTATGAGAAACAATAATGTGACACAATATCATGGCTCCAAAATCCTCACCCAACTGCCCCAGCCCCTGAGTCCCAAAAGGCTAACAGCAAACAGAAGACTGAGGAAGAAGAGGCTTGGCTGGCCTCAAGGATCCAGCGGCACAGAGGGAGCAGACGGAGGAAGATCTCCAACAGGCAGGGGCTCAGGAGGAAAACCCACCTTCTTTCCAACCAGGTCTGAGGCTGGCCCAGCCCCCAGCACAGTCCTGCCCCCATCTGGACACAAAGGTTTGAAAACAATCTCCCTCCAAACATCGGGGGCCCAAGAGCCATCTGGGAAGGAGACATGGAGCTTGTTCACAAGCAGCCAACTCTTTAGGCACCTTGGACCAGCAACAGGCTTCATGGTTTCCAGCGTGAAAGCAGCAGTAGGAAGACAGGCCAGGGCAGCAGACTCACCCACTCCTCCTCGTGCCAGTCCACCTGCAGGGAAGATCGGCTGTTTCTCCCTGTCCACCTGGCCATGAGGGTGTCTTGATCATTTCTAAGCATCACCTGCTCCTCCTCAGTCGAGGTTGGTGAAGCCTTGGAGGCAATGTAGTCAGGGCGCGCGGCATTCAGCCCATGGATGGAGTTGGCCAGCAGCTTGCAGTCGCAGACTGTGACCAGCTGCCGGGTCTGCAGGGACACAGAGATCAGGGCTGCTTAGCCCAGCCCTGGGGCCGGGGAGGCCCGCCTTCTCTCACAGACAGAGAATGAGCCTGGGGCCCAAGCACTGTGCTCTTCTTCTGCTCTTCTCTGCAGCAAAAAGCAACTAAAGAGCTGCATCCCTTAGGACATCTGAGTACAAAGGCTGCCACATGGTCCACTTGGGCTGAGTCTTAGCAAGAATTTCTCACCAAGGAAGATGAAAGGAGGCTGAGAAATCTCAGTCATTCTCTGACCCCTGCCTGCCTCGAACCTGTGTTCGCTAGGGGAAGGGCCTGAAAAGAGCCTGTTGCCCTAACCTTGGTCGACTTTCTGGCTGTCCTCCAGTTTCCTAGACTACGTGTCCAGGGTTCAGGTATTACTTTCAATCACTGAAGCCTTATCTTTTGTATCTCAGCAACTAATACCTGAAGTCCTGGGCTCTGAGCAGGTGGACTCCCGGCACAGCATGCCTGATTTTGGAGAATTCTGCATGCAACAGGGGTTCTGTGAGTCATACTTTTACTGCTGACAAGTATTCATTTCTCTCCCAGTGGATCTAATTACTCCATCTTGATCATTTTGCTGTGTAAACACATGTGAAAGATATAACACATTCTGATCAGGAATAGCAGCTCAACCCAGCAAAGCAAATTTGAGTGGGGAGGTGTGATCAGAATCTCTCTCTCTGTGTGTGTGTGTGTGTGTGTGTGTGTGTGTGTGTGTGTGTTGACAGGGAGACTGAGTAATGTGAAGAAGCATCATCCATCAAAAGGGTCTGATATGTCCACTCCCTCAGTATGGACTAATATTTATATATTTTTAAATCATGATAGAGTTATGGTTAATTAGAAGCTGGTTTACTGACTGTATATAAGCCAATAAAATTAAATTGTTTTTAAGTTATGTCTGTATAATAGCTCAGTTCCTTTTTTCAAGTGCAAGTACAATAGAAATGTGGCAAAAAGAAAAACAAAACAAAACTGCTGATTAGGGTTGTTACTGAGAAAGCAGTAGAACCGTATCAGCCCAAACAAAACAAGTCCCATGGATTTGCTTGAAGACACATCTGCCTGAAGCAACAACTAAGAACCATGTGCCCTGGGTTCTTTCCTTGGCCTGTCCAGTTCTGTGACCACAGACAAATCACCAAACATCTCTGGGCCTTTGTGGAAAATGGAACTAAAGATAGGCCTTCAAGGTCATCCCAATGTCCCTCTCTGTGTGGAAAGCTCCTGAGAGCTTCCGGAAACCCAAGGGAACCCTCCAGCCCAAATGCATCAGGGCAACCCCACCTACCTTGTCCGCCAAGATGGCAAGTGTCCGCTCAAGACCAGTGGCAGACCTGTCCTTAGCTGCTCTTGAAAGCCGTTCTGCATAGTAACTAACTTGGGTTTTCAGGGTGTTGATCTGGGCGATGATCTCCTTGGCTCTGACGACGTCCTGTGGTATGTAGATTATGGACTGGCAGCTAGATGGTGTACTAAAGAAAGGATAAGAGCAGATTCTAAGGGGTTCTATTAAGTCCAAAGAGGATGGCAGCATCATCCCAATACCAGCCACAATTGACCCTGAGATACAGCATTTACAGCATTCTGTGACTCGGAAATGTTTTCCTAGGCTAGTCTCCCTCTTGATGGGCAAAGTAGGTCTTAGGAAAACCTTTCTGTATCATGATAAAAGCGTGAAATATTTAAAAAATGACTAAGTCTTTTATCTGTATTTGTGGGTGTTGGTAATTTTACATTGTGTATATAAATGTGTATACGGATATTGAACAACATACCTTGTAATCCCCCAAATGCTCATAATCTTTCACCTCTGAATCTCATCTGTTACCTTATAAGCAGTACGTAAGTGGAGACAAGGGGTCTGCTTATAGAAGGGGTCTGGTTATCACAGTGAAGGGAGAGACTGCAGTGTGTGTTGTACTTTGCCTCCCAAAACACAAAAGCTGTTTTTCCATCTGACCTGTCAGGACTTAAAACTTTCTGTGAACACACCCATAGTTCTCCTCCCCCGCCCCCACCTGACACTAGACAGTCCCCAGAAAAGTGGGCTTCCCTTCCTCCTCCCTTGCTCCAGGACTTCCCTACTTTGAAAAACAATGTTCCAAAAATAAATAAATACATACATACATACGTAAATACATAAAATTTTTAAAAAAGAAAAATAATGTTTCATCAGATGAAGGGGAAGTAAAAAACATGCCAAGTCGGAGGTGAGATCAGACACCTCAATGGCTTTGAAACCCTGGTTCTTCCTCCTTCCCATCTCCTCACCACCGAACAGCGTGTGTGCCAAGGGATCTGATGTCAAAGGCTACAGTCCAGCCCAGCACAACCAGGAGCCTCTGAAGGACCAACTCTATGTCCCCTTGCTGTGTGGGCCTGTCCAAAAAGTTTAGTCCTACTAGATGGTGATGATAAATTGCAGGTCTCTCAGCTTGGATCCCAATAAATAGAACATTATAAGTTTATGTTTCAGACCATCTGGGGAAACTGAAGAAATCAGGCAGAAGTGCAAGCCACCAATGCAGATGTCTCTCCTTAAAATTTGAAGCTGTCAGCTCTGTGTGGAATGGGTGTCCCTTCTCTCACAAAATGAGAGACACTGACTGGCCCCTGAAGGGCTTCCCTTTAAGTTCTGGGGAAGAGGGAGAAGATGGAGGAGAGAGGGCACCTCTCACTACACCCTCCCACTGCTTCCCCTGGAGATGAGGGTTGCTGGAACAGGGCTGAGATCCAGTGACCCTGCTGGACCCTTTCCAGGGAAACCCCAAAGTGGGTCATCAAGACACTGTTGCTGCCCCTTCCCTTGCTAGACTATGGGGCAAACATGCAAACAGAAATCCAAAGCATCCCAGAAGGAAACCACCACCACAAGCCCACACACAATAAAAACGATAGATGTGCCAGAAGCCCATGCAGCAGACCACAACCAAGCCCGCATGGCACAAGAGCCATTCCACAGCACAATGTGCACACGACGACTTTCCAATCTGCAATCACTCTTCCAAATGAATAGCTGCCATTTAAGATAATTTTGTCTTCAAAAGACAATCTCAAAGTTGGATTTTTAAAAATCTATTCTCCCTAGGCCTCCAGTATTTAGAGTACATGTATAATATGTGCTATATGTAGATCTACTTCTGTGGTATGTAGATCACTTGAACAAATATATACCCTCCCCTCAGACCAAGAGAAAAAAGTTACCCTGTGTTCTCACAAGTCATGTTCTAAAAATGGTATCTGGGACTTATGCATGTATATGGCAGAGTGAGAAAGGACAAATTTCAAAGAGCTGCTTATTCAAGGATGATCAGAAATATGCATGTGTTCAACTAGCTAGTTCTAAAAACAGGGTATCCACACAAAGGAGAAGGGATGATGGTGTAGACATTTTGCTGCTTTGCAACACTCACACTTCCAGAAGTCTTTTGGGGGTTGGGGTCTCACTGTGTTGCCCAGGCTGGAGTGCAGTGGCACACTCATGGCCACACCAGCGTGAACCTGTTGGGCTCTGGCGTTCCTTCTGCCTCAGTCTTCCAAGTAGCCAGAACTATAGGTGTGTGCTACCATGCCTGGGCTAATTTTTTGATTTTTATTGTAGAGATGAGGTCTCACCAAGTTGCCCAAGAAGGCAGAGAGGGAGTTATCAGGCCCAGGTTGAGTTATGGAAGGTCCTCAGAGGGAACCTAAGGAAAGTTAGTTTCCCAGGAACTTTCCAGACAAGGTTCAACCAAAAACACCTGCATTGGGATTTATCAAGGAGCAGGCCCTAGGGACAGCTGGGTCTTTGGCTCTCATGGTCTCACGGCCCATTCCACCATCTCTCTTGACCCAACCCATCAGTACTTCACTTGTTCTGTTATGGGAAAGGTCAGGCCTTCGAGAGTCCCCAACAGGGAAAAGGAGGGAAGGGGAGCTGAGGGGGCCACTTCTACAGAGGCAGCTATGGGTTTCCCTCTCATTTCTTAAGTACCCCTGGACCCTCCTCAGGGGAAAGCTGAAGAGGCCTCAGCCTCCGTGTGTGTTGGAAGGGGGTGTTTCCTCAGGACTTCCTGCTGTATGATGTCCCCAGAAAGCCCTAACAGCTAGGGCAGGGCCCAGTCATATCCCTGAGCTCTGTTGGTCGGTCACTGACTCTAAGGCAACAGTACTCCTGGAAGGGCTGCATGAGCCTCTGAGCGAAGCCCTACTACAGAGCCCCTGTTCTGGACCTGGGGCAGCAGGTTTTCTAACCACCATCTAATTCTCTGGTAGAAAAAGTCACTGTTATATTAGTTCTTGGTTTGCTCCCTCCCTCTCCCACTCCTAAGGTAAAACTGACACTGATAACACTGTTTGTAAAATCTGCATAAACTTATAAGTATCATGAAACTGTAGGCTGGCTTCATTTGTATAAGAGGTGATGATAAAGCATAAAATAAAAAGCCTCAAGACTCTTGTAAAAGAGGATGGAAAGGGATTCCCAACTGCACCAATGGGCTAACTAGAAATCCCAGTACCCAGGGAGCCTCCTGGGTCAGGCTCTTCCTCATCCTGGGAGAACCAGAACTGAGTCCCTTCTCAGAGTGACTGCAGCAACAAACTGCTGCCAGGTTTTCAAAGTAAAGCAGTCGACTGGAGATTGGCTATTCATTATCAAAGTACATTGCAGTTGGAAGGGAGAGCTCTGTCTATAGGGTATATAACGAGGAGCCCACAGAGGTACCACGGGGAAAGCCCACATGGGTGGGGTGGGGGCAGCACAGGCTTTCTCTGCAAGAGAGCGAGACCCAAACAGACTCTCTCCACAGACAGAAAACTCACCAACACTCCTCAAAACTGCTAAAGAAAAGAACCAAAATGAAATATTAGCAGTTTGTTAGCAAATACCAAATGCAAAACAAAAAATTTAAAAGTCAAGTTATTTTTTTAATCAAAATGCTTAAAATTATTATTAAAGCCCCAATATGGGGATGATTAAATTTATGAGTCAAACGTGTTTATTCATTAGAGCGACAGACCCCATTGCTGTGCTCGGCCCCAGGGAGATATCCCACCGAGGACAAGTGACCTTTGCATTTAAAGGGAAGTTCAAATGAAGAAAACCATACCTGCAAATGGTTTAATGATATCAGCGGGAAATTAAATAAAAACTTATATTACATATTTAAAAAAAACTAAAGCGGTATCTTGGGGGGAAAAGTTCTAAAGTTAACATGCAGAGTTATCAGGTATTAATATCCCAATCTTCCTGGGACAAGGACAGCCAGGCAGCCCCCCTCTCGACTGGCCACACAGAATTAATGAGCATTCTCTCTCATCTCAAACTGCACACTCACACCTTCCACACAGCAACATGCAAAGGAGCAACAGACGCTTTCTGGCTGGCTGTGCAGAGCTGCAGTGGGCACAGGAAGCTTTGTTTTCTTCACATTCCCAAAGGGGTACTGGAGTCTATGAAACCTAAGGCAGGTCTGGTTACCTGGTCTGCCTGCTCAGGAAGCACCCTTGGTGGGGAGGAATCAAGGTCAAGCAGGCTGTCTGGGAGCCTCCCACAGAATGCTAGAATTCCCCTTCCTCACCCCAGCCCTTCCGTGATCCTTCTCCTCCCATCTCAGGACTCTCTGTGATCTGGATTGGCCCAGGGCAGCCTGTGCCCACATCAGAATGGTGACTTCTCACAGCACATTCCCTTGCCCTCCCTGCTCTGCCATCCATGATGCCCATAGCTGCATTCCTGACCCCCTCAGTCACTGATCCACCTCTGACGTGACCTTTCGCCCCCTCCCTGATCCAGTCCATGGTCGTTGTCTTGAGTCATGTCTGCCTGCCACAGCAGCAGTCAGGCAACAGTCACTGGCTTTATGGCATGTGCTAGAGTTCTCCACCTGAGCATGGTGGAAATCCCTGATGCTCCCTGGACCTTTGCTCACCTTTCCTCAAGCTATTCCACTCTCAACTGAGAAATCCAACCTTCTCCACTCACACTCTACAGAGGGTGACCAGCAACACCTCAGCTTGTTCCTTCTCACCTCCAAAGTCCTCTGCAACCCCACCTTCTTCTCCTGTCCCTTCTGGATGAATTGTCCAGTCTTGCCTCTTTCCATCTTCTCAGAACCCTGCTCCACCAGTGCCTCTTCTCTTCTCACTCACTGTACCTCATCCACTTTCATCTTTCCAACCAGCCTAACACACACTCAAGTCTTAATTATCCTCCCCAAACCTGAGACCGCATGCTGTTTTCTCTATTTTGTGCTCTGTCCAAGGCTCTTACAGGATCATCTATTCCTTGCCTCCAACGCCTCCTGCAGATCTACTACAACAGCTTAGATTTATAGTTCTGTCCCTCCTACCCTGGGGGGCTGAATGAGTGACTGCTCCATGCTCCCCGGCACCCTTCTTGTGCTTGTGTCAGGCACTGCTCCACGCCCAGTGGTGCTTGCTGACTTGTCTGCTCCCCAGCGAGGCCCTGGCTCCTCAGGGCCAGGCACAGACCTGTCAGCCCTGTGTCCCTGGTCACAGAGCAGGCTGGAAGCAAGACCAGCTGTCCACCTCAGCTCCTCTCCCCCAGCACTACAAATCTGGCCACACCTCACCAGTTGCACTGCTTCTGCCTTGTCCTTATCTGAAATGCCCTTCTTCACCCTGCCTATCTGGCAATTTCCTGCCCAGGACAGTAGCTCTGTGCAGCCCACTGGATCTTATAAAAACTGGGAACGTTGACCATTGCTGTCCTTCAGGAAAGGAAACCATGTGTTCCAAGCTTTATGCCTGTGGAGTTCAACTGAGAGACCAGGAACTCCAAAGGAGGCCGAGCCAGCAGAGATTGCACAGGGCAGTCACCTGGAACACCACTTTCGTGGTGGTTCACAATTTGCTGTTCATTTTGCAGGGATGGGACCACTAATCTGGTGCCCTCATCACCCACCCAGTTCAGTCACACACACAGAGCAGCACAGGGTTCTTATGGCAGCTCCTCCTGCCACGCAAAAGCAGATCAATGACTGGATGTTTTTGCAATCATATGTTGATTTTTTTTAACTGGAAGCATCAGACAGCTGTACGAGGGCCACAAACCCTCTCCGGCTACTTACTGTTTCTTGGTCTCTTCAAATTTGTGCAGCTTTTTGCGGAGACCTCCTGATTTAAAACCTTGGCAGTGAGCTGCTGGTGCTCCGATGGTGACGACATCATAGTTCTGATCTGAATGACAGAAAGCTCTCCTCCATTACTCTGGGCTCAGGCCTGTGGACAAGCCAGCTACAGGGATATGCACACAAGTCTGGGATCCTACCCCTCCAGACCATTTTCAAGTAGCTTTGGTTCCCCTAATCCCATAGCCCAAGCTGTCCAAGGGCCCGCTGGTGCCCAGCACCATCACCTCAGCAAAGAGGAGTTCTGTATGTCTCAAGTGGAATCACACAGGGCTGCAGGAAACCACCTGGAAACACTCACTTGCAGCCCTCCTTGGGAAGGATGACTGATGGGCAATTTTTGGCTACAGAAACACAAAAGTGAAGTTGAAGGGAGAAGAGACAAAAGGGAGGAGTTTGGGCTCTTTGACAGAGACCTTTCAAAGGTCCTTATGACCTATGTCTTCTCTCAGGGAAACAGGGACAAATGTAGGGGCACTCAGGGACCAAATACCCAGGGAGAAAAGTGAAATGTGACTCAACAAGGGGGGCAGAACAATAGGTACCTGATCCTCCATCATCTTGAACTCTCATCCTTTGTATATGCAAGTTTGTGGGGACAAATTCCAACTTTTTATCTGCTTTCAAACTGCTTGCTTTAAACGAGGGACCTAAGAAATGGAATATGAGAAAGCAAATGCCATCAATATGTGTCCTGCATTCATGAATATCAAACAGAAAATGGAATCTGGAGGATGCTGCTACACATATGCAAGTATGTATCAGCAGTGGGCCAGGAAATTCTGAGTTGCCCATTAGCAAATTTTGCTCCCAGACAGCAGGTGTGTAAAATGTTGAAGGGAGGGCAGCCCACTGGCCAGGAGACTGGTTCTGGGTGCTCAGATGGTGAGTGGAGCCAGGGAGAATCAGCTTCAAAAGGCCGTGGTAAGGATGCTGCAACTTCCATGACTCAGCTCTCAACTGAGAGATCTGACACAAATATGTGATTTTGGGCAGCACAATGTCAGCACTACTATAAAAACCAAAGTCTTTCTGTTCCAACTCTAGCAACCACTGTCACTCAAGATCTTAAGAAACTGGTTTGGCTACAGCAACACATCTCAATCCTTAAAAGTGATGAAAAGTCCTGAAAAGCGATGCAATACAGCATTTATTCTAGCACTCTGGAGCACAAACTTAAATATGTTTCCCTGTTTATACTTAGTTGGTTCAGGAGGTTGGAGAATGTTTTATAGCCAGTATCCACAATCTTATTTATATAATCAGAATCCATAACTACTGAAGTAGAGAACCACATGCCTAAAAAACAAAGGGATTACAAATTAAACTGCCAATCATACGAGAAGAAATAAACATTCCATGTAGTGAAAAACACAAGTGTACACTGTCAGCACATGACTCACAGACCAGCAGCTGTGTGTCTGTATCCTGTCCCAAGAGACTGCTTTCTAGAGCCCAGTCCTTGGGGTGTGTCCCAGAAACCAGCAGCACAAGCACCCCAAGAGCCTATGAGAAATGCAGAGCCCCAGACCTACTTTTATCAGAACCCTCAGGGGATTTGGATGTTCACTGACATTTGAGAAGCTCTGCTCTAGGAAACTCAAGGCTGTGTGGGTTTCACACTTTCCCAATAATAATTGTGCAGCACGGGTAGGGCCCTCAGTTCCTTCAGGCAAATGTTGCTATTTCTCTTAGTGATGTACTTAGACCTGCTCTTTAATCTCAAGCCAAACCTAAGCAACACCACCATGCCAATCCTGCATTTGGCTTCTTTTCATCCAAGTTCACGGACAGGCTCATATATTCTGTGTCAAAAGTCACATTAAAGGCTTATGATTTTCCTTAAAATCCCGAAGTTTCACTATGTATCGGATCTTTAGGGTGTGGAAGGGTATGAGAGGAATAAAAGGGAAGAATCTGAAGATAGAGAATAATTTGAGATGCTAAAGCAACACATAAAGTAATGAAAAACTACAAAAAAAATCATTTTATTTGGAATAAAAGGGGAACAAATTAAGATCTGTCTTGTTTTCATATACTTTATTTTATTTTTGAGTCAGAGTCTCACTCTGTCGCCCAGGGGTCCACCACAGCCTTGACCTGCTGGGCTCCAGTAATCCCTCTGCCTCAGCCTTCCCAGTAGCTGGAACTACAGGCCCGTGCCACCACGCCTGGCTAATTTTTTATTTATTATAGAGAGGACGTCTCACCATGTTGCCCAGGTTGGTCTCAAACCCTCGGGCTCAGGCAATCCTCTCACCTCAGCCTCCCAAAGTGCTGGGATTATAGGTG